CCGGATCCGTTAATAGCGGACAGAGGTTAATTTCCGTTAATTTTCCGTTAATTAACGGAAAATAACGAAAAAGACAAAAATTAACCAAAAATTAGCGGATTTTTGGATTTTTTGGGGATTTTTGGGTTTTAGTCATACTTATAGTTTATGGAATTCGCTATTAGAGAGTATGTTTGTATTTTATTTCAACATATGCATACTAGATTTTCAACTAGCCGCAGTTGTTGTGATTTTTTGGGTTTTTTTTCAATTTTTTTGGATTTTTTTCGTTTTTCTGAATTTTTCTCCCTTTTTCTTTAACGAAATTTAACGGACAGCTGATAAAAATTAACGAACCGGATTTAACGGACCGGATGGCACCCTTGAGTGGCCACCTCTAGCGAGCTTACCACCGTACTTATGTGGTGAGTGCGGTGTAGTAATGATCCTTTCTCGCGCAAGCAAACTCCGCCCGCGACCCGACCCCGCGACCTCAGCCGACCTAGCCGGCGGAGCCCGCGAGTCCGCCTGTCCCCGAGCATACCACCACGAGCGCCGTGCTCAGCACGCGCAGTCCGACGATTCGGACCCGGCGGAGGCGGAGCATCGAGCGGCAAACCACCACGTGCATCGGAGGCCCCCTCGCGACGGCGGGGGCCCGAAGGGAGGCCGACACTTCCGATATTCCCTCACGGGATGTTGTTATGTCACCGGCCTCCGCCGCCGGTTCGCTATTCCTAGTTGTGTGCTCGGCCATGTCGCTGGCTTGCACCTCACGGCTGTGGGATTCATTTCCTCAGCCTCCACGAGGGAAGCCTGGATGGAGTCTCCATGCATTGTCCTCTCCGCATGCAATGGAAACGTGTGAGCCACCTCCAGGTGGCTCTGAAACCAAATGATACAACAACGTTAGTGGTATAGGGCTCCTACCCTTTTTGAGCCACGGACCCACCTCGCCGGGCACCTAGGTCCTTACGGGGACCTAGGCGGGACCACCCCAACCTACTCCCATATCGTATAATATATAATCTGGTTGGAGAACTATTACCGTATCTTGGGCAGGGCGTCCCCCATGCCAAGAGACCGTTAATAGGGCGTCCCCACAACAGGCCTATGTACGCAACACTAAGAGCACGGGGAACGGGGTGAGCTGGGCGGATGAGGCAAGGGGGGTCGGGGTTGTTATTCAGCGGGCACAAGTCCGCGGCAAGGGACCCGGCTTCGCGGACCAGTTTTGCAGGGGGCACGATCGATCCCCAAAGCTGGGTGGTTGGTGTTGCACGGTGCACGCACGTACGAGGTTTGGGATTGGTCCGTTGCACCTAAAACTTGGGATTCAGCCTCTAGAGGCCCCTCAGAGCCCGCCTGACATGATGCGGAGCAAAAAAGAAAATAACGTAACGGTCCAGGACGAAAATGCGGAGCAAAAACGTAACGGTTGGGATGGACCGATGCAGAAGGGTTGAATATTTGACGGTAACTCGGCTTCCCTGATGTTCTGCGCTGTCCCTGGCCAACATGCATTTTGATGCTCCATTCAGAAATCGGATTGGAGTTACAACAACGTTGATAGTCCTTGATGCAGGGCGTTAGTCGCACCGATACGGCAGAGGCTTGCGATACCGTATTCGGTACGTGCTGCGTAGGGGTCCCCACAAACGTTTCGGAAATTTGATGCCAAGGGCTGTTCCATTTAGGGTCGATGGGGGGGTTGTACAGAAACCCATCCGTGCGCGAGTTTCTGGCACCACGCCACATTGTGGGGTGCCCCCCCTCCCTCCTGGCGGCACTTGAAAGCCTGGCCCGTGCCCGTCGCCGCCACGCACGTTCTCTCAAGCATGGAAGTCGGGTCCTCCGCCGCCGTGGGAGGTAACCACCCCCTTCCCCCTTCCTCTGCCTTGCCTGCCTCTCGGGATCCGCGCACACCTGACTGCCTTTTCAAAATGTCAGCCTGGCAGGTCTCCAACATCGTCCGCTTCCCCACGAAGACTCTGCCCGCCCGCGACACGGCCCCTCCGCGCCCCTCCACGCAACCAGCTACGCCCGCGCCCCCTCCCGCGCCCCCGGCGCCATCCCCGGCTCCCAAACACGGCAACCCGCTGATAGACCTGATCGCTTCCGCCGCGCACGACCTGGAATCGAGGGCCCGGGATCGCCCCGACGGCGGGCGGACAGCCAGAGCGGCCGCCGCGCGTGTTCGCGAGCTCGCGCGCCGGGTTGAGGGGCTGCTGGATGCGGGCAAGGTGCGGGTGTGCGAGGCAGGCGGGGATTTCGACCCGTTCGAGGCGAAGAGGCGCGTGCAGCGCAGGAGGCGTATGGCGGCGAAGCGGTCCAGGGAGGAATACCTCCGGGGGATGATCCAGGCGCTCAGGTGCGAAAGGCGCGGTGCTGGTGTTTTTTGATGGGGTGCTGCCGGCTGGCCGACTGGGCTGCGAAAGGAACGAAAGTGTGTGGGAAGTCGAAAGGAATTTCGCGGGCGAGGTCTTGCCCGACGTGTGGCGCGTGGAATTGGCTTCACAATTTCTGGCCCATGCCCATGGCTGGTGATCGCAGCCTCTGGCACCGTGGACGACGTGGTGCCCTGGTCGCCCCTCCGGAGTCTTGCCGATCGCCGCTGCGCTTGTCGCAGCCTTTGCTGGGGGCTGCGCCCCGCCTGTAGCGGAACTTGGGCTGGCGGGCAAGTGTCGTTGTACACCATGATGGTTGCGGAATTGTTCATAACAGGGGCGCAAGCCCTTCTGGACGGAGAGCCGGCTTCTGCTTCAATGATGGGGGCCACTAGGCCGATAACCCTTCTCAACATTCCCAAAGCCACCAGTGCAGCAACATACCTTCTCCTGTCACCTTCAACTCTGCCAAATTCCCTGTTTAAGTTTTGTCTTTCAAAGACGCAGCGGGCCCCTTGCACCTAGCAGGAAAAGAAAGGCATGGGGCATCCAAAATTGTGTTAATGTCTCTGATCCAGTTGTGCACCTGTCTGCAGCACATACAGACAGTGGTAAAAGAAACGAAGTGAATTTGGAATTCAATCCTTTGCCAATTGTGGCGCCTCGAGTTGCACCGCCACTCGTCCCACTCGTCATGCAATGCTTGCCCACAGCCAGAGTCAAGCCACAGAATGCTGTCATGCGTTCCGTCGCCGCATCCATGTTCACCACCCACCCCCAAGGCCATTCTTTGTCTCAGGCAAGAGGAGGCCAGGTGGCTGGAGTTGAGGCAGCAGGGTGAGGTCTATAGGGAACAGGCCAAAGCGTACATGGAGGAGCACGTTGAACGCCCGAGCGAGGCTGACGGTATGATAGGTGTGAGCCCACCACAAGACTCTGGAGACCAATTTGAGGGAGAGGCCTGCGTCGAGGAGGCCATCCACACAGCTAAGCAACGGCTACAATTAGAAATGGAATACGTACGTAGATCTCAGCTATCAAGTTCTGTCTTGCTTCATTTGTATTCGACCCTTGTTGTTGGTATCTTCTGGTGAACACACCACTGCAGATTCACTACTTAATCGCCTCTCCCCTTTCGATGCTGGGACTGGGTCTGTGTGGCCTGGCCTTGCAGCTGGCACAATCTCATCTGTCATAACAATGCTCCAGGGGATTGGTCGACCTCGGTGCCGGCTCTGATAGCAAAATATCCTGCACCCCACCCACGTAACAGCGTCCAACTGTTGACGCCCAGGATCGTTGTCCTGTGGGGCGGTGGCAATTTTGGGACAGAATATGAAATTTTTGAATTGGAAGCCTCAAACCAAATATTGAACAGTATGACTCTTTTCATCATTCGAGATGTGCAGTGTGAACGTCCCAGGTGCATCATGGCATTTCGTTTCTTCACAATGTCTGTTACCAGCCAACCTGTTGCTGCCGTGTGTCTTGGACAGATGCCTCTCGTGTTTACTGCAGCTGTTGGGCAACAGGATTCTTCCTCTGGCAATTGATGCACTGTTCCAAATCTTGGGGCATCCCATTGCCTCCAGGAGCAGTCAGAATTTTAAAGTGTCAACCTTCGATGTATGATTGGGATTTGCAAGAATAGTGGGAGTGTGTTGTTGTTTCTTTCTGGTTCAAGGGTGGCGATTTTTGTTGTATTTTGGCAGTGGTAACGTGTTCAGATATGCACACAGACTACCTGCCATTTCAGTGTTTTGTGCTTGCGACCAGTTCAAGGAAGCTGAATACAGGACACAGGAGTGCAAGGATGCTGCGCAGCACGCTGAAGTAAAGACTCAACAAATCCAGGTGAGTTGGTCTCAAGGGCGAACACACACCGTTTGCAGCAATCTTGCAGAAAGACAGCAAAGTTTGCATAAACCCGGCTTGGGCTTTGGAACATCAGGGGGCGGCGAGGTTCAAACAACTGCACTGGGCTTGAACAAGTTCCCAGGGTGCCCACTGCAAAGAGCCCCAAATGCCCCAAAACGAATTCCTTGCCTGCGCAGTTACCAATCAATTCGCGATTGTCAGTCCAACCTATGTTGTTGCATTTTCATGAGATAGCAACAGACAGGCTTCTTCTATGAAAACTAGAAAGGAGACCAGAACATGCTGAATGACATAAGCCTTGAGTTGAAGCAGCCAACAGTGACATGGAGTGGTCTGTGACTGGACAATCAACGTGTCGTACACCAAAAAGGGGTCATACAGTTCCATCTGTCCCCCACCCTCATGCCCAAACCCCGCTACCCACCACTACCACCCACCACTTGGATAAACAAGAGCATGATTCTATTCCACAGTGCAGAAATGTTTTACATGTTTCAATATTATATAATGTACATCGCAACCAGGGTTTTCCGATACTGGGAACAAAATATCATCCACACGATGCAATATCTTAAGTAAAGGTGTCCACATGGCAGCTCTTGTTGAGGCTCGCTGACTGCTGCAACACCCTATGATGCAGGATGAGTTTGCAAGAGCAAAGTTCTCCGCCTTATCAGAGACTGACCCAAAGAGGATTTTGAAGAAAATGATGGAAGGGGTCAAGCTCCATGGCTGCCCCCACAATGCCATGATGACGCCAAAGGCCAATTACCAGGGATTAATGCAGATGTGAAGGTGGCCTCCGCCCCTCTCGCTCATGACGCTTGAAAAATTGTTGAACATATGTTGGGTTTGGAGGATTGCCTTGGAGCCTTCAATGGCCAGTCGTGGTTTGATGCTCTGAGTGTTTCTTGTGCGGAATTCTTGCAGACAGGAAGCAGCTAGTATGTTTGAATGTGTAGTTTAGGGGGATTAGGTAACATAGACCAGTGCAGGGTGGCAAGGTAACCACAGCATATGCAGACAGCCTGCCAATTGAAGGAGCTGTGCACCATGAATGCCACGCCCTGAGCCTTTCAACGAGCTTATTGCTCCAGCACTGCCAGTGGTTGTATTGATATTGTTTTGCCACTAGCGCTCGTTGCACTTTTGTCAACCATCTGCATATCGCTTTCAATAAGGCAAATGTTTGAGGCGCCGTTCTCTTTTGGAGAACGACGTATTTAAAGTACATTTCCGCTGTGACGCCTTGTTTGACATGTAGTGGATCATATGTGCACATAAACTACGTCTGGGCCCATCATCTAGGACCCAGTCTAGTCCCCGAAACGCAACAGCAAATCGGCTCCGCTCTGCCCAACGTATTTCCACACTCAAACCCAGCATTTTTGCCGCTTCAATCGGCGAAAACACACTGTATGTTGCATGCTGGACAACAATGCGATAACATAGAGAACCGTAGAAAACGGGGGACGACGCCCACTCGCGTTGAGCACTTCCGTCAATATCAGGGGTAGGCGTGCGCCGCTCACGGAAACGCAAGCGTGTATAGTACGCTTGGCTTCCAGGAACGGAAACGGGGACGTCGGCGGTGCGTTTCAGTTTCCAAAAGGAAACGCGAACGTTTGCCATGCGTTTGGATCGAAACGTGAATGTGAACGTGCCCAGCGCGCTGGGGTATCTGAAACGGGAACTGGAAGTCGAACAGCTGTTTGCAGCACTGAAAATGTGAACGCGAACGTTGAGCAACGTTTGCTTCTCCAGATCTTCAAGAAAAAGAGATCCGTTGGTGGGCATGGTCGACGATCTGCAAAGCTGGTGATTTCATTGGCGGTGTCCTTGGTAGCGATAGGCACCCGCATTCAGCCAGCTGCACAGCAAGTCGCTCTGAGCCGCCGTGGTGGTGGCGGTTCATCAATAGTCTTTTCCGCGAAGATCCCTCCTTGTTTCGGACACCCCAAACCCTAAACCACTGGCCCACCGACCGGCGTTGGCCTTTTCGGCGGAAGAACAAGGGTTCTCCACGGAAAAGACAGAGGGACTGATATATTCTCGAAGATATATTTCCCCAGTACCAAAAACGGCTGCTTCCAGTACCAAATTTCAGCCAGTACCAAAAGTGAATGCTCCCAGTACCAAATCCGCCCCAGTACCAAAAACGGCTGCTTCCAGCACCAAAAACGGCTGCCGCCAGTACCAAATCGCCCCAGTACCAAATATAGCTGCGCCCAGTACCAAATCATCCGTAACCTTGACTCGCCCAAGGCGACTCGCCTGCCTCACTAGTGCGACCTTGGGCGATGCAAAGCAACGAAGACAGGGGCTGTGCGCCCCTCCACCGTCGCGCGAGGCCATATGGAGCGTCCGGCAGCGGCGGCTGCATTCAGCACCCACGCGGATGGGGATCGAGAGCATCGGCGAGGATTCCTAGTGCTCGCGTGGCGACGGGAGCGGGGGGATCTGCAGATCGTGGTTCCAAATCCGGCAGGGTGCAGATGCCTGCACATAGCCCGAGCCTGCGTGGGCTAGAAGGGGATTCCGCGATGTTGCAGACGGAGGCGCCGGCGTGCCTCCGTTTTGGCGAGCTTGTTGGTTCGCAACGGACGGGTGGTGTGTCTACAGAAGGGCTGGGGCAGCGGGCCTCCCCAGGAGGCCGGGGGAGGTGCAAGATCTGCAGCGGATCTCGCTGTATGCGCGGCGAAGCGTGCTTCCCGCTTGGGCGCTTTATAGGTGACGAATGTTGCCAGCCGCGATAACCCGATTGGCACCCACGGGTGGCACCAATCGGTGGCAAGGAGGGGCGAGAATGGTGGGAGTGAGTAGCCACGTTCGGCCTCCCACTCCTGCCGTTTTGTGGCGTTTGTTTGTGGCCATTCGTTGGGCACCGCGGGGGCCACAGTCCGCCCTTGGCGTTTGCCCCCTGTGGGCGCGGACTGGTGCCACTCGCGGGTCCAATCGGGGCACCCGCGGGTGGCACCAATCGGTGGCCAGGAGGGGCGAGAATGGTGGGAGTGGGAGACAACTTTCGACCTCCCACTCCTGCCGTTTTGTGGCGTGCTTTGTGGCCACGCTTTGGGCCCCGCGGAGGCTACAGTCCACCCTTGGGGTTCGGCCCCTGTGGGCGCCGAATGGTGCCACTCGCGGGTGCCAATCTGGGCACCTGCGGGTGGCACCAATTGGTGGCTACGAGGGACAAGAATGGCGGGAGTGGAGGCTATATTCTCCCCCAGGAATACGGTGGAGTACGGCAGGGCATATGGTACGCACGATACCGTATATGCGCCCGCCCAAAACCCCGCGCGTCTGACGGCGGGCGAACGACAAGGCCGCCCCCCCCCCTTTCTGTTGCCAGAATTGAATCCCGCCCCCTTTCGCGCTCGTTCCTAGTGCCCCCTCGCACCGGCCGCCCGCGCAGCTCCCCTGCCGCGGTCACCCGCCCACGCGGTCCGCGACGAACCCCCTCGGCGCACCTCTCGCAGATCGCCATCACCCCGCCGCCACGCGCCGGCATGGCCGCCGCGCCATCGGATCCGCCCTTCAGGGGCGGCACAGTCCTCTTCTGCGGGGGCACCGACTTCTCGCAGGTGGGGGATGCGGGGGCGGGGGGGAATCGCCGGCTCCCAGCCCGTGGAAACGTGGTTTGAGTCCTGGCCCTCGGGGTCGAGGCAGATGCGATGGCCGCTGACGGGCAATGGTGTGCTTGGCGAAGTTGGGGCGCACGAGGAAGAGGAACATGTCCGAGGTGGAGAAGCAGGTGAGGCGTCGCGCCGCCCTGTATGCATCGCACGGCGGCGAGCGCGAAGGTAACGAGATTCGCGCGCACTGGTTGCTTGCCTCCGGGGCTGTTCGCACGGTGGTGCGGCGGAGGGTCGCGTCGAATCGGCAGAGCGAGGGTCTCCTGTTGATGGACTGGAACCAATCTGCGGGTCGAGGGGCTGAAAGGGGTAGTGACGGATGCTGAATGCCAACATGGTGCGCTGTGGTGAATGGATTATTCATTGGTGTCGCAGGAGCTGCTGGATCGGACGGAGCGGTACCCAAACCTGCCGGAACCGCATCGCATCAAGGCCCTGATGGTGAGGATCCGACCTGGTGGAGCGATCTGGCGACAGAGCCTGCACTTGTGGGCTTCCAGACACCTCCTTTTTGCTGATAGGCAACGCCGTGCTGAACACCGCCACAATTGCGGCCGGACTTGGCGAAACGCGTTTCAACAGCGCTCGGTTTGGGCTCCCGCCTGTCGTCCCTGACTCGAATTCGGCATCCGCTTCGCAGCAGCTGTTGTAGCGTGACAAGGAAAAGGCGTCGTACACCTGTTGGACCAGGTCTTTGTGTTTGGAGTCGTTGGCAGTATGTGCCAGGCACCGGTGCAGGCCCTGCCAACGACACTGTGCAATCACCTCGAATCGTCGCAACTTCAATGGCATCACATAGATTGGCCAGGGCTGGTTGTCCGCCGTCAACTTGATTGTGGCGTCTGGGCGCTGACAGTGTGAACTCTGCTGAAAACTGAGAGCGAATCTGGCAGGACAACTAGTTTGGGTGCACGAACCCCTGCCTCAACTCATTCGCTCATGGTGTTCAGTGCGGGACATGCAGCACTGATCGCACGCCGATAATTGCACTGCTGTGGAGAAACGGAATGTTTGTGCATGTCTTGGTTTCTTACACTGAAATTGGGTGGTAGACCCTACTGGAGGATGCCATGCTGACTCACAGTTCGCATTTTGTGCTCCAAAGGGTGTCAAGATTCGCTTTGTGGCGTCTGGCTGTGCGTCAGTCCACTGCATCGCTGGTGACATGGACGGCAGGTTGTTCACCTGGGGAAGAAATGAGGTAAGTGAGAACCGGCTCCAATCTTACTTCCATCTGCCGCGGGTCCCATGCGTCATGGTGGGAGAGGAGGGAGACAAAGATTGTAGTGGCCTGAGAGAGTTTCTACAGTCAGTGGTCCCCGCTGTGTGAAGAGATGTGAATTGTTTTTTTTCCCAGAACTGGTGACACGGTGGGGTGACGCATGGGCCTTTACCACCCCAGGGACCCCTTTTGTTGAAAACTGCACAACAAGGTCGGTCCATCAGATGTTGAATAATGGCTTGGAAAGGAAAGATATGCTTAGAAAGTTGACACAAAAGTATGCCCTGTTCGGGTCGGTATGTCTTATGGCCATCACTACATACACTAGAATCCTCCTCCTGAGCACACTGTGGCCCATACTAAAGATCTTCTCTGCACACAGCAGTGCTGCATGTGTTGCATCTTTGGGCCAAGTGGCCACACCATGCGACAGGACACTACAGGTGTCAATGCAGTTAAGAATATGCAATATAAATAGATATGCACACCTGTCCTTGTTTTTGGACCATTTGGGGTCGGTTGGTATGGGCTGCACAACCCAATACCTTGTGAGCACCAACATGGCAGCCTAAGAGCTGGCTCTCCAGGTCACCATTTCAGTATTGCTGCTGTAGCTTCTGGTTTTTGAAAGTTGGACTGCTGCATTTTGCTCTCAACTAATATTCATTATTAGGAAAATATTAAATTGCGGGACACTGAAGGATCCAGGTTGGCCTCACCATGGCATTTGTTGTTGGCCATTCATGTTAGGTGATGAGGCAACAGTTTTCAAATGTTTGCCCTGTCAATTTGGGAAAGATTTGCAGTCGTCTGCCCTCCCACTCTCTCACCTACTATGTCGCCATCACTGGTGCCCAGGTTAATGGCTCCCCACCTCTGTTTTATGTTTAGAAAGGCCAACTGGGCCATGGAGACACACACCAAAGGAATGTCCCAACGCTGGTTGAGGCCCTTCGCAACAAGAACGTCGTCACAGGTGTGCACTCATTGTACTGAAATAATGGCTTATCTTCCATTGTGTCCTTGTGCTCATCTGGCATCTGCATGGCCAGTTGGCTGGCTAGTGCCTGGCCAGCTGGCTGTCTAGGAGGAATTATGTTCACCGTGGCAAGAGGCACTGATGATCAGCGCCCACCACCTGATGAGGGCAAGGGCATCGATTGGTCATATGTGCAGTGGATCGCAGTTTCCAGAATGGCCGTGACCAACAAAACCTTTGCACAGTGCAGACTACGACAGCGCAGAAATCTCCATCCATATTCAACCTTTCATAGCAAGCATACCAACATTCTGCACAGCATGAAAAGGGTGGCAACGCTTGGCCATATTTCATTAAACTTGAGACACACATGGTTTGCGATTGAACAGGTAACACTATCAATGCTTGGCACGCTCGCAAGAGTTGCAGCACCTGTCAAGGCACAGGAAGTGGCATGTGAAGGTCGGCTTACAGAACATGATCTTCATCAAATAGGCAGTTCTCTTGTTGGATGCCTGGGTCAATGTCCTGTTATTTACTGCCGCCATTGGCAGTAAGTGTGGCCGATCTCCAAATGCTCATTTAGCATCCTCACAAAAGTTGCTGTTTCCACCTTTTAGCGATTGAGCTGACTGCGAATCGTCAAGTTTGGTTTTGAAAAGCATTGGTTCCACGCACTATGTGTTTTCATCATAACTATTGACTGATGTCCGTGGCTGGGGGGCAGGGCCCATAGCAGGATTTGCATAAGGGAACAGCATGGCAGAGTGCCGTTTCCATGTATTCCCAATCCTTAGCGGGGCAACATGCCAGCAGGGCCACAACTGGCCGTCTTCGGGCGCAATGATGGTTGTTGAGGCTTATGCCCGTGCAACCAGTGCAGAGTACCACCAACAGGACATAGCAAGCATTAAACTGCTTGAAACCAATAACACAGTCCGGGGGTGCCACCCGGATAGACAGACCAGAAAAATTGGGGGTAAAGCAACAAGGTAGCAAATGGCAAACTGGGATGGAAAAGTGCACAGGGCTGAGTCAGCATAGCCTCGGAAATCCCAGCTCGAGCCGGTGGATGCCTGCAACTCAGGCAAGAGATCAAATTGGAGTTCAAATCATACCAAACCAATAGCTCAATATTCTGACTGTTATGCAACATCCTGTGCTGTGCAATTGAAACCATCCTCAGTGAGAAGCAGCTTCTTCCCCCTGTATCCAACTCTATTATCATGGCTTGGTTTATCCCCTCAACCCACAGTGTTGACAGCGGAGCAGCAATCTCTAACAGACCGTCATTGCATCTGTCTTCAACAATTCAAAAATCTCGACCACTTCTTGTTTATTGGGGTTGACACTGACCAATCTAGTGCAATGCGAACTGGGCAGCTGAAATTGGCCCTGTTGTTGTTTGTTGAAACTCCAGCGGCTGGGGGCCGCCACCACACAGTTGTGGTCATCGACGACGGCACCTCACAGGCATTCGGCTCGAATCTTCAGGTAAGTGAACATGCATTTGCTGCTGATTCAGTATCGAAATTGTTTGTGGAACTTGTGGCCAGGATTTGCAAAGCAGAATCCACTCACTGTAGAGACTGTTGTTAGCATGGGCCTTGTGAGCGCACATTTTCTGCTTGTCCATGAACTTCAGTGCAACCTGCTGTTCCCATTACACACAAGGACAATAACATCGCCCTGTGAAGGTTTGAAACAGTCGCAAATATATTCTTTAGAAAGGGGGCGCCGTATCTCTAACATGCTCCTTTCTTCGAGAACCACAGCCACGATGGGACATGGAACAATTGGTTGCCAACAGAAATGTGGCCTTTGTTGCAGCTCTGGCCATTGACTGAGCAGTCCGTCCTGTTGCTGCAGTTTCTGGAATTCTGTTCCAGTTGCTTTGTCCAAAAAATGGCAGTGTGGTGCTTCTCAGCAGCTGAGTCCTGACAAGTTAATGTGCTCTGCACTGCATGCGTTGCTGTGCATGGCTATATTGTGTGGCTGCTACCAGAAGGGAAACTGCTCTGGATTATGTGTGCATTGTGTAGCTTCCGTCTGTAAGCTGTGCAGCCAAGAATTGTGGAGATTGTGCCATTGTGGTTACTGTTGTGGCTTTTGTACTGACAGGGCCAGTGCGGAACAGGCGTTGTGAAAAGCAAGGACAAGTATGAAGGTACAGGAACCCTTATTTCCACATTATGTGCAATTTTTCAATGATGTCACGGGCTGGTGCAGTTTTGCATCCTGGACGCTTGCCACTCTGGATGCACAGACTTTGAATCCTTCGATTGACTTAATCTGGCAGAGGTGCTGCACTCGCATTTGCAAGTCGATGCTGGGCATCAGTCCTCACACAGATGTCAGTGAGCTCCAATCCATGCCAACTCCAAAGCAAGAGCAGCACAGTGCTGATTAGTAAAGCATCAAACCATATATATTCCCTCTTGGCCAACGACTTTCCTCATACACATATCGGCATAAGTGTGCTGCTGATGTTTCAGGCTGCCATCACCTTGCCATGGCCCATTTGCAGAGATGTATCCAACTGACTGCTGCAGCCAGGGATGGACACCACTTGTGCTTCATTCAGAAATAAGGGAGCATGATATGCCAGGCATAACAGTTGCCAAAAAGCCAGGACAAACGCATCCTTGGCACCTTGCAGACAATGTTGGACAAAGAGAGCCTCAATCTGCGGCTGTCCAGTGCCTCAAGAGCATTACTCCTGTGAGCGTTCAAAGGCATAGTGCGAAAGATGGCAGTGAAAAGAAGCAAACGCTCGGCACACCAGGGAATACCACAGTAGCATGTACAAAATAGGCAGACAGTGATGGGGGATAGCCACATGAACGATTTGTGCAAAGCTTGAAATGCTCTTCAGTGGCCCGGGTCCCGATTGGAAGCCGTGGATCGAAGATCACATGAATCTTCTTAGGTTTGGAATAAGAGCAAGGGGTGCACATTGCGCAACGTGTTTTGCTCTCTTTTACAGGAGTCTCTGAGTGGTTCGAATTGAAGGCCATTGAAATTTACACGTTTGGCACATGCATTGGACTGCTCTGGCTGACAAACCCACCTTTGTGCCTGCCAGAGCTGCTGCTGTCTCCAGCTCCTGCACTGGTGTCTGACTGCACGGCCGTCAGCTGTGGCATCGAATTTACTATGTGGCTGTGCGATGGCAAGCTGTTCGCAGCAGGAATGCCCCAGTACGGCCAGCTGGGGGATGGCACAGACCACGAGTACAATGCGAAGGAGTGTAAGTACATTTGTGTCGTTTCATTTGAATCCATTGCTTTGCAAATTTTGTTTCAAAGGCTGAAAGACAGTATATTGTTGCAGTTTCTCAGATTGCAATTGGCTTGAAATTTGTGCTCCAGCTCCAATAGCAATGGGTCTCCAGCCAGAAGCAAAATACAACCAGTCCTCAGATGCTTTTTTGCTGTGTTGTATGCGGCCATGTCCACCAATGTGTGCCTCCACAGCAGACCTGCCAATACTGATGTGATTAGTTAGTGAATGCTGAAACCGTCCCTGATGAGTAATTTGAGATTTGTAGCACACATGCGGACTTCAGAACAAGCCGTGGTGGACTTTTGGCCGTGCCGTACCATGGCCAAGTGCAAGCCATCTCTATCTGCCTTGTGTGTGTGTCTCCTCTGGTCAAAAGGCAGGACAGAATGTCAAGGCTGTCATGCATTTCACTGCAGCGTCTGTCAAGCTGGTATATGCCCCCCAGCCGACTCCCATCCTTCTGCAGAACATTCTTGCAGACCGCAAGATCGTGGCTGTGGCGTGTGGGCACAATCACACACTTGCTGTGGACAGTGAAGGCATCGCCTGCTCATGGGGATTTGGGGGGTATGGTCGCTTGGGTCACAAGGTGCAGCAGGATGAGTTTAGGCCCAGGCCGCTGGAGGGCTTTTTGGGGAGAGTCCGTGTGGACACTGACAACCTAGTGGTGAGTACATGGGGAGCGAGATTGCGGGCGTGGCTGTGTTGCGCAATGCACTGCAGCTATTTGTGAATCCTGCGCATGAGCAAAGAGCAAAGACAATTTTCAGAATTGTGAAATGTGGGTTGTTGTTTTTGCCACTGTCTGACCTTTTATGCGATGTAGTGGCCAAACATCGGGAATCAATCAGAAGCAAGGTGTCATGCAATCTGCAATGCATTTTGGCGTTTCTGTTGCCTCCAAGATCTTAGGACAGGGCAGTGCAGGTTTTGCTCTGATGCTGGGAGCTGCTGACCAGGCTGGACAGCCCCGTTGTGTACTTCTTCCTGAGAGACTTGAACTTCTATATGTCTCGCCTTGCTCACACTGTCCCACTCACCTTGTGTGGTAATCGTTGGGCAACCACAATTCTTCCTCTGTATTCTGTTTCTTTGAACAGCGAATAGTGCCTTTACTTGTAGTCCTGCCACTTATATTCAGTACCACCCCTTGGAATATAGATCCCTTGCAGGGGGAAGGACTATCCTAGGAGCACTATTCTGGACCCAGCAGATCTTGTTGCTGTTTTTTCTGCATTTTCTTTTCTATTTTCTGCTTTGCTGATTTTCTCATTAACAAATGCTTGCCCAATGCAGCAGCAAGAGTAAATGCATCCATACGAGCAACATGGAAAAAAAAAACTAGCCATGGCATATGCATCTGCTGAGCTCAGATGATGGGACAGCACCTATTTGCTACCTATGTGCAAGGGCCTGGCAGTGCCTGTATGGCAGCCACCCCAACTCTTGCAGAATCATGGGATAATATGCAGGTCACCATCAACAGCGTCGAGTGCACCTACATGCTTTCAGAAGTGTGTCGCACTCACACGCCCGCTTGCAGATATTTAACTAATGCATGTTTTTATGTCTTCTGCATGTCAGGCAGAACACCATTGATGTTCTGACTGCAAATTCCAAGTTGGTAACTGGTGATTTTTCTGCTGTACATAACAAATTGAATATTGGAGGCGTTGATGGAGAGCCAGGTGGAGGAGTAGCCCCAGCGATGGATTTCGTGGCTGTGGTCCAACTTGGAGATAACCATGGGACTGAGCATGGGAATGGACAAAAGGCCCTCTGATGTTGATGTTCCGAGCATAACGAAAACTGAGACCCAATTCTTTGTGGTGGTCATCAGCTGTCAGCGGGCGGTACATCCTCCTTCTTGACTGCAGCAGGTGGCCAGTTGTATGCTTGGGGCAAGCTCAAGTCCAACGGGGATAGCTTGATGTACCCTCAACCATACATGGAGCTCTCAGGATGGAAGGTAGGAGCAAGAGCTGTATCCAGCATCTCCATGTGTCCCTACTTGTCTCACACTCTTCTAATCAACCAGTGCTCTCTCACCTCGAATCTCCTGCTGAGCACACCCGCCACTGGGTTGTGTTCGCCAATGTACTGCTCCAACAGCAGGCTTGCCTGTTGGATGGTCCGATAGATATTCTTAGCCAGGAAGGGGGTGAAACGGTGAATGGGCACCAGATAGTTTGGTGAGTTTGGGGCTAGGAAGGCTCTGGAGCCTTTTCATTTCCTGTGCAGTATTCAATGTGTGGAAACTGCTCGTGTGCAGATACGGAACATGTCGTGCGGTCCAGGAACTTTTGCCGTTGCTTCTGAGAAATCGGTAATCACATGGGGACATGCTGCCAATGGGGAGCTTGGCTATGGGCCCTTGGGCAAGAAATCGTCAGCAAACCCTGAGAAGGTACGGATGTGCTGCCTCCGGCAATTCCAATTGGTTGCCATTCTGTGTGCAGTTCTTCAAGACATGGCAGTACAGTGGGAGGCCTGGTCTAGTGACGCCTGTTTAGCGACGTGCCTAGGTTTAGCAAACCCCTGAACGGCTTGTGACCATTCCCGTATTACTTTATTTCATTACAACAGGCCCAGCGCCCGCGACTCCGGGGCTGCGACTATGTCGCTGGCACCAAAAGCCAGTATGGGCCTGGTAGGCCGGGTGTAGCATAGCCCCCACACTGGCGGTGTTGATTGAACCTGTGACATGACTGCAGGTTACTGGATGCAGATTGTATGTATCAGTTCAGCCAGTCAAAATATGCCAAGTCACAGCTCTTACACCAATGCAGGAGATTTGGCCGATGGGTCAGGTAGCCTGCAGCCCAAGATTGTCCACACTTTGGGATCTAGCATGGCTTGATTTTGCAGTGTTTCCGTTGATTCTTATCGGATTTTTTGTGCCCTGCATTGACTGCAGCGACTATTGAATCAAAAGTTACAAGCACTCTGTGATTGTGGAGTTGTGTTTTATCATCCATTCCAACTTGAGCCAGGTTGAAGGGGTGTACGTGACTGCCAATGGACTGGACAGTCTCCAACATGTGCATCATGCATTCTCTATTTGTCATGTTTGCATCATATGTAGAAGCTCTGCCTTCCATCAAACACACGTAATGCTTGAACTGATCAGGCGCAACACCAAATACTTCCCCAGAATTGGTTATTCCAACAAGCACATGGCATTCCCCAGGCGTGGCACCATCGCAGAACATGAATGTATTGCCAGGCCATGACTTTAGCACGACTGTGCTTCCCATTCTTCACTGTGCCCATCCACAATTTTTAACACAAGGCAGAGGGCCCAATTCATAAGAGTAAGAAGCTTGAAAGATATGAAATTTCATATTTCATAATGATGCACTTGTGCTTTGAGTCGAGATCTACCTGGCATTTATGGCCTGTTATCACCTTTGAGATCTGCAGTGGCAGAGCAATTTTCAAGTGATGGCAGGCACATTCAAGGCTCTGTCTCACAATTTCTGGCTATCCTGTTGCCAGTGCGATGCCCTTGAAGGACTGTACACGCACCAAGTAGCATGCGGGGCTGGCTTCACGCTGTTCCTGACTGACCTCGATTATGAAACTGCCGAGAAGTTTTCTGTTTGGGACTGCATGGAGGAGGAGCAAGAAGAGAAAGCCCCAGCAAAACGCGGGGGCGCAGCTGGAAAGAAGCAGACCGCTAGCAGCTCGAAACGCAAGACATCAGGGGTGGCAGCCAAGGGAAAAGCAAAGAAAAGGAAGTGAATCGTGTATGGTTTGATGGGGAAGGATTGCTGCTTTTTTTCATGCATGCTGTGATGCGGGTGTGGAATTCTCAGGGGTGGAGGGTACGTGGAAGGGGAGGGCCGTCTGCTGATGCAGCAATTTTCTGATCCTGTGTTGGATTCATTGATGCTTGCATGCAGGAGTGGGGGTTGTAGTTTAGGATTCATTTTTGCTGGTGACAGGCATTGGAGATGGAAATGCTGGTGGAGGTGTAGGATAGTTATTTGCCTTTGTGGCTTTGGGAAATGGGCGATGGCACAAGTCATCGTCATTTGGGGGGTCGCTCGAAGCAATATTGCAATTGTCAAAAATTTGGCAAAGAGTTGCCCATGTGAATACAATTGAATCAGGATGGTTGCTCTCAAACCCGTTGTACTCGTGTGGTAGGCCGCCACAGACGCTGAGGTCACTGATCCTTGTCCATGACGCACGAATAGTGCTCTGTGGGTGGCGACGATGGCCACAGCAATGACGACCATTGAAACGAACTTTGCCTGCACGTGTGCTGGTTGACTCGCACTTCCCCAAGCCAACCCTGCCCAAGGCAATGCACAGGCCCACACATTATGTGCCAGTTGTCGACCACTCGAATCTTTGTAAATGAGCAAATGTCGAACACCTGCAGTGTGCCAAAACACATGTGCACCCATCGGGGCAGACGTCATATCCAGTTGCATTGGCGAGTTGCAATGATGTCGTGTATGTGTCAGTGCCCTAATCAGCAGCTGGATCATCAGGCCCTTGAATCCAAGCCAAGTGCCCCATGACTTCTTTGTGCAACGCCCTGGTACTTTGGGGGATGCCCCAAAGTGCCGGGAATGTGTCCACAGTCCTGCCTGCTTGGCATCCGCAGACACTGCTGTCTTAAAATAATGGCGCACTGTGAATCCTGAACAGCAGCGGCTGCTGAGCAGCCGCAGCCACATCACAGTGCAACCGCAGTAACTGATGATTACACCAGTAAGGAGTTGCAGCGGAGCAGTGTCCTTTTGGGGTCTATCCCTGGCGTCCAGTCGTCGATGGCGATGATGCACGAAGGCGTCAGCAAATGCATCGATGCACACAATGTCGATCGACATTGCTGTCTGTGCACCCTCAATCCGAATCCAAAATCCAAAGAGCATACTGAGCATTGAATTTGTTGACAATTCCAGCGTGGCACTGCCAAACCCAATTTGAATGTTAATTTAATGGCCATCATTGTAATATAATGTGTCTTGATAACAGACAGGGCGTTTTGGCTGAAAAGGGCGCTGACTAGTAAGCTAACGTAAAGATAAAAAGAAAAGGCTGAGTAATTGGGAATGACTGAAAAAGTAATGTTGATGTCGATTCTGCCGCGTTGAACATTAAAGTCGTCATCCAGGGTCATCAAGCGTCTGATCATGGCAGACATATGTCAAACGTTTATAAAGCGACGGTCACTGAGAAGATGTGAATGCGCAGCGCTTCTGAGTAACGCAAAAGAACGACTCACTGAGAAGGAAGGCAGAACTACGAGGCTGAGGATGGGTATGCCCGACTTGAGGATCCAGCCAGCAGGGTGACTAAAGATCCGGCTCGGCAGAGCGAGGAAAGACAGCCGCGGGAAGAAATGATGCCAGCGGCTGGATTGTCACTGGAACGCGATCTGGAAAAATGTGCTGGAATGGGTTTGGTGTCAGGAGGGCGTCGAGGCGGTCGTGGATGGCGCGGGAGTCGGTGGCGAGGCCGACATGGGGCTTGTCGACATGACGGACGGCGGGGATTGCGCTGCAATTGAGGGGAGCGCTCAAGAAGGGCCTGTACGACGACATGGAGGAAGATGACGCTAGCATTGGGGGCGGCCCAGTCCCGCTGTCAGACGGGGGCGGATGGCAGGTAGTCCCGAGGCTGGACTAAAGTGTTCACGACATTGAGAGAAAGTATAAGGTATTGCGCATGGATAAGGACAGGTGATTAGGTGCCTTTGATGTGATTTGACCTACCATAAGCGTGGGAAACGCACGCTGATCATCTACTCGATAAAAAGTGGTAAATGGCCATTTAGTCCATGGGACCCATGGCTCTTTTGATAAAGGTAGCAATGACCAGCTGATTTGGTTTGATGGGTGATGTGACATGCCGTAGGGGCCGACGGTCCATATTAATTGTCCGCGTGTCAATTGGCTGATTGATGAGATGTACCTGATAATGGCCTTCATCGCAATAAGTGGGACTGGATTTCTTGGATTTTTGAAGTGAATTAAAAAGGACCGCTTCAGCATGAATCCAAGACGGCAGCAAATTGATGGGAGTCAACTGAATTGAATAGAGTGATTGATGGGACGTCCAATGGGGAATGTTTGTGTCCATCTGATCCAGTTTGGGAAAGCGTGGATCAAGTTGGATTCCAAAGTGACCGTTGGAAGCGACATTGGCTGAGAAGTAGCGAACTGACAAGGGAAACTTAGGAATTGATCTGAATCAGGCATGGTGAGGCCTCAATGGTGATGGGAAAGGTAAGGGTGAGCTAAGGTGATCAGGGGATGATCCCGAATATTCGGGAATCTCCCTAGATTCCTTGAAGGGGGCTGGGGGTGCGCAGGGGGTATAAATAGAGGGGCTGTGCCCCATTGAGATAAGCGGTTTGGAGTTGGCTCTGAGCCCAAGGGCAAAGGGACCATAGGGAGAACGAACCCGGAATTCCTTGTGGGGCAGGTGACAACCCGTGGAGGGTGTCCTTGTAATTAATTTATTGAATCAAAATTTCTGTCCATTACTTAAGGGTGAAAACAGATTATCACCGATTTATTGGGAAACCTGCGGGGCCCCAAATTGGTGTTAAGTACTGTTAAACCCGAGGCCTTATTCACTGGGAAGGCCTACGGGGTCCCAGAACAGGCCCGGCATAGAGTAGGAACGCCTTCGAGGCCCCTACTCTGTTGCCGAAGTACGAATAGGGAGCTGGTTCTCACAACTATTCACAAGTGGGCCCACCGGTAGTACTTCGTGAACGTGCAGCGATTGCGTGCTCGCCAAGGAGTGTCCAGCCGTGCTGCATGGAGGGAGGCTATATTCAGGTCCAGTAGGAGCTAGAGGTTAGTGGTGTTGATAGTATAGTTAAGTATCAAATCAGTTCACCATAAGTTCCATTAAAATCCGACTGAGTCACTGCCTCGCTGAGGTCCAGCGAAGCGCAAGGGGACCGGAATAGACATGAAGAGATCATTAAGAGACAATTGGAACATAATTACACTCGGAGTGTAGTAAGTTGTGAAGGAATCTGTTACATGTTGCCCTTTGCCCAATACAATCTTGAGGGTTAAGGCATGAGCCCGCCCAGGAAAACTCTCAAAGCAACACTAGGCCCTGCGAGACTAACATTCTCCCTACTAAGCGCAGAAAACTGGAGTGCCCTCCCGCTCCAGTGAAGATCAACCTGTCAGAAAGCACAAAAGTACTTCAGGGATATTTATTGACATAAAATTAGGCGCGCCACCTGCGAAAGAGCTGGAAAAAGTTGTCCGAGAAGGTTGCTAAAAACTGAGCTGTGCTGATCGCACACAAAACCAGTGGAAAAGCTGGATGTCAAACTATACTCTGACGACATATTGGTGTCGTTTGGCAGTGCAAGAAGCCCCGGGAATAGTACCAAGACCGGGCAGGCGTGCTCATAAACACCCATCTGCTGGTCCAGCTTCAGAAAGCAGTTGGTCCGGCATTACTTACTGTGGTTTTTGTCAATCTGTTTGCTCATGGCCCAATTCTGAACGTGAGGCTTGCTGGGTTAATCCGGAACATGAGTAAATTGGTCTGGCGCATTTTTCGCTCCTTGATGCGCGGTGAGTCATTGCAGTTGGCCAATTTGGCTAGGGAACTTGCGCGAGCGAAAGGCCAATTAGGTGTCCTGTGTAATTCGGAGCGTGTAAGACGCGGGCAGCTTAGGCAGACGGACGGAACAACATCTGTCACGGCGCGGCCTGCGACAGGACTCATTTCTGGCCCAGTCAGCTGCCCTAATCACTTTCCACTTCTCTGCACGTTTGCGCTTGGGATTGTAGTGGGTTGTTGCGTGTCACTAGTGTGCCTCTGTCTCGGCATTTTTGGTCCGGCCGTTCGCCCTGATTCACATATACGTGCCCGTGAATCACCAGCCATAATCGGCAGTCACGCGCGATGCCCATTCAACAAGCGCAATTCGGGGACGTCGCTGGACGCACTGCCAGGCCGTTGGGCTGTGCGCCAACAGCTGTCAGACATGGCGCCGCCGTGGTTCCAGAAAGTCCCGACGCGTGTCCCAATGAGAAGCTAGGGCAAATCGCCATGATATCAAAAGCAGTATTTGCACAGCAAAGACCCGCTCAATGTTGTTGTATACCCCACTGTGCAAGTGGAATGTGAGAAGTGCTACGATCTGGGGATTTTTGCCAAAAAAGAGATTGAATGCTGCAAAGTACATCATGAAACCTTGTTTGCCATGTCTCCGTTACAAATGCAGGCCATGGAACTACCGCTTAAAGCATCATGAACGTCATGGCATCAATTACACTTCGCCCTCCTCTGGCTCTTCTCGTGTTCCTGCGCTCCTGAAACGAGGAAATATCAGGCCACAATACAAGAGAGGTGGAAAATAGTAGAAAAGACAAGTGGTGAGGGAGGACATGAGGTGGCCGCCCTGCGGTTTTACAAAAGACCAACACAACTCAATCGCCGTTCGCTCGCCGAAACGCCGTTCGTTCGCTCGCGCCTGATGCTGTGACAGATGTGAGCCGATCCACGTGAAAAATTGTTGCCAGAAGCCTTCTCTGGGCAACGATACATAGTTCTGTGCTGTACTCGTGGATGGACCACTGTACTGGGAGCAGCACTGGTGGCGCTGCTGTACATGGCCATCCCCAAGTTTGCTCTTCCACAGCTAAATGAAGTGGTGTTCTTGTGTTTAGTCTTGAAGATGTATACAGTGTGCCAACTGGGCTGTGAAGACCATCGAATTGATGAGTCATCAATAGTCACCAATT